GCCTGAAACCCCGATAAGATCGAGAAATGGAGGAGAAGATATCGCAGTGTGACCATGCCCCATGGGGAGATGCTTTTTTCCTCTCCCTCCCTCTCTCTCTGTGTCTCCATCTCTTGCAAGGGTACAGCTGTTTCAGAGTCCTGAACTTTATGAACTGGTCCCTAAGTGGTATGCTATTACTCAGATATCTCATTTCATCTTCACTGACCTATTGGCTCTTTCTAGAAAAGAGTAACTTCAGAGTCTTGCTCTGAAGAACATTCTTGTACATGAAGGAATTCCTACATGGTAGGTTATGACAGGTTGCTTCTCTCAAGTACACTGAAAAAAAGGAGGTTAAGGGGGTAGGGCTCATTCTAGGGATAGGATGTTGGGCCCATTTCTGATCCAGTGACAGGGGATCATTTCTCATGACTTACCATCCTTGTCATTGCCTAACATGAGGTTTCCCAAGGTATATTCTCAAAAGTACTAACTGGGGACACCCCATAGACATTGAAACCAAACCAAACCAACTCCCAAAAATGAAAGCTTCCATAGTCAAATACATTTAGGAAATATTAAACAGCTTTCTTTATCTCATCCAGGAAGAAACATGGTAGGATTCTTTTTCATTTTTTTTATTTAGTGGTGTTTTACAAATGTATTTGATCATAAAACTCTTTTTCTTCCCCAAGGATATATTCTCACTACTTTAAGAAACACACTCTAACAAGATTATCTCTGAGTTTTCAAATCTTGAGCAGCCTAAGAGGAAGCTGATCTTTCTAAAAGTCATGCTGATAACTCCAGGCAAGCTCTCCTTACTGACCAATTCACTGGCTCTCAAATACTGGTCTGTTCTCTCCAATTCCTGCCAAGCTGATTTGGAATGCTAAAATAGAAAATAAATAAATAAATAAAGTGCCTTATTTTTTTTCCTTCTCTCCTTCCTCTGCTTTTGAAAATAACTGGAGACAAATTCTATAACCTTGGCTTTCCCTTGAGTATATCGCTGTGGATATTCAAAAGCTTTCCTGTGGTTTGTTCCTTAAGTTAGCATAATACACACTAAGCAAGATATTGGTAAGTGTTAGGTAACAATGAGACTAGAAACTTTGGCAGGAAAAGCATGATCCAGTTCTACTGAAGCTGGAAAATAATTTTGTTAAAACCTCAAAAAAAAATCTAACCCTTTAGACAAAAGCTAATAGTTTTGTTTGATACACACATTTTGTCATGAAAATAAAGATTAAGTTAATCTCGTGATAAAGTGTGGCATATTTGGGGTGACACTAGATATCTTGATGGAAACTAAACGGAGGAATGTTTGAATCTGATGGGAGTAGACTGCAGAGGGCTTTGAATGTCTAGATAAAGAGTTTACTCTTGGTTTCTTTTCTCTTTTTCTCTCTCTCTTTTTGTTTTGCTATGGGGGTACATGCACTAGCCAGAGACAGAGAAAGAGAGAAATGTGCGAAACCACCTCCACTGGGGGGGGGGTGGTCACATTGCAATCCATTCTCCTCCATTTTCTTCGCAAAATTTTGGGCACACACACCTGCCCAACATGTCTTTCAAGCTGCTGGATCTGGGACTTGAACAGCAAAGTCAGTCATGTCAGATCCACCGCCTTAACTGCCACACCACTGGCTGGCCCCTCTTGGTTCTCTTTTTATTGGGATATCACTGGGTGGTTATGAGGTGCAGTGCAGGCTTTCTCATTCTCAGCACTGCCGACATTTTTGGCCAGATAATTCCCCGTGGTTGGGGCTGTATGGGACAGGATATTAGCAGCCTCTACCTCCTAAATTTATATCAGTAGCATTTCTCCTTTACCAAATTAAGACAACCAAAATGTCTCCGGACATTGGCAAAAGTCCTCTGGGAAACAAAATTCCCATCCGATTGAGAACCACTGAGTGGGAGAATGACAAAACTGGTGTTTAAAAAGGACTGTCCAGCTGTGGTTGTGTAGAATGAACAGGAGGAAGCAGGAAAAGAGCCTGGGAGGATACACTAGAGGCTGTCCCAATACCCTAGGTGTGGAGTATTATTCTAGTAAGAGCTTCCAATGAAGTACATCTCCCTGTCTTCATGAGCTTGAATAGTCTCCTCCTCACTGGCTTGGGAGGTGGTCATGTGACTTGCGTGTGTGACTGGAATATCTGCTAATATAACACAGATGAGGTTGAAAAGCACATGTGCACGTATGTTAGGACTTGGAACACTGGTACTATGTGACAAATCCCATGCTAGACTCCTGAAGGCACATGATCAGCAGCCAGTTCCAACTTCCAGACCCATGAATAAGGCCATCTAGGACCATCCAGCTCTGTCTACACCCTGACGCCAGCCACCCACGGGATCCCAGCCAAGCCAGCAGAAAGCACACCTAGTTGAACCTGCCCCAACTGATGATAGAATTATGAACAGATAAAATGGATGCTGTTTTAAATCACTACAGTTTGACTGTATTACACAGGGATAGATAACCGGCACAGAAGGTCTGAAGAGGATTGATAATCCTGGAAATAAGTCGTATGCGTACAACCTTTGGAATAATCCATGGTTTTTGATGACTCTTCAATAAAGAGCTCAGGGAAAGACCAAAGCAAGCCACAAAGTGTAAGAATTCAGAAATAATGAGCACGAAAGTCAGTCAAAATTTATAAATGAAGTCAGTGTTTGTTAAGAAAGCACTTTTGCTTTAACAGTTAAATATATAATTAACTTATCTATTTTGAAAGACCAGACACTTATTAACTGCCAACAGTATAATAATAATATTTCAAAGACTCAGTTGAATAAATATGTTTATAAAGCTTTTTATTTAGCCACTTTTACTTTTTATGAAAAAAATCAATCTTGAAAATAAACAGGAAAGCATATTATTTCAAAAATCAATAACAAGTTTTATTGCACTAATGGTAAAATTCATTTTGAGGTGTTAGGTGTCCCATTGTATAGAACTATATTCATTTAGCAATTAGGGTGCTAAGATCAAGGCTTCTAGTGGAATACCCCTCATAATTTATCAGTTAAATTTGCAGGTGGAGAGCAGCTGTAGTATTTACAACTTTATAGATGCTATGAGTGTTTCCCATGCTTATTGAATAATTCAAGATGAAATAATTTCTTGGATGTTTAGTACTTAGTTTTATGTTTAAGAACACTTGCTTGGAGGGAATGTTTTAGTCAAATCTCAGCTTAATTTTTTAACATTCAAATCCAGCATAATTTTTAATATAAAAAATACCAATGTAATAAATGATGGAGAGAATCCAGAATTTGAAAAAAAAAAACCAACACAGTCATAACCTAAAAAAAAGGCATAAAATAAAAGAAAGCTTAAAATATAGAAGGAATGAATAATGAGAATCAAGTAAAGACAACCCAAATGTATTTTCACAGGCAGAGAATCAACTTACGAAACGTGTATATAAAGCCCTATAACAGACTGGAGATCTGAGAATGAAAGAACAGGATTTTCTTTTTTTTTTTTTTTTTAACTGGATGACCTTTAAAGATGTAGTATCCAGGACCAGCAGTTAGCGTAATGGCTATGTCGCTGGACTCCCACGTAGTCGACCATGGTTCAAGTCCTGAACCTGGTGGCTTAAACTCACGCTGGGCACGTGTGCATGCGTGCCCAAGATCCCAAGAGGAGAATGGAGGAGAAGGGATTGCGGCATGGTCATACCCCTGGGAGGAGATTTCTTGTTTTCTGTCTCTCTGTCTCTCTCTGTCTTTCTGGTAAGTGCATGGGCCCTATAGCAAAAGCCTCTACAAATAATAATAATAATAAAAGAGAAAAAAAAGATGTAGTATCCATTAAGGGGCAGTGGCCCAAACATAAAACACAGTACTCTCTGGGGCAGACCCATGTGGGAAGGTTGGACATCTCACTTAGTAGATCAGCAGGCATGTGCTCAGGGTCAAGGCTGACTGGGACCCAGGATATATCCAGTAACCTACCCTTGTCAAGGCTGCTTTAATTCGGTCTCTTTTTGTCTCTGTCACTCTTGGAGGAAATACATTTAAAAAACCCCATACTTTTACATATATAATTTCCATAAAGTTCCTTTAAAGAAAAACAAAGACCCTAGTCTTTGCTTAAAGAATGCTGCCCAAGTGATTTCAGTTGTTCATTTTCTCTCTGAGGAGACAAGGACTGAAAAAAACTGTTTTGATTTGGGAATCTCGAAGATCTTTGTGCTTTCTAATATACATTAATAACCAGTGGGACCTTAATGTTAAAGTACTGGAAATACCAAAAAACAGTGATATTAGAGAATGGGGGGGGGTCTACTGGTAACTCTTGTACTTTGACTTTTAAGAAAACTTGCATACTTATAAGTATACCAAATTTCAGAAGTTAGAAGACAATAAAATGCACAGGAAGTTAATCAGTTCAAATCATCCCCCTACCTACTTTTCCCCTTCTAGTGTAGATGATCACGCTCAAGTCGGCACCGTCTCTAGAGGCGAGCCCAGCGATGGGCTTTACTTGAGCAAACCGCATTAGCGTCCCAGGTCAACGCTACTGTTGCAACCCCAGTTTTTGCTAGGCTCCCCAACTCCTGAACCAAAAGCACAAGCCAGCTCCCAGAGGCGTGGGAAACAGAGCCAGGCACTCCTCCCTGGAGGGGCGGAGCCAGACCCACCGGGAAAGTGGCGAGTGCCCGCACGCCGAGCCCGCGCTCAATCGGAGTCCGAGCTCAGTCGGAGCCCGCGCTCAGTCGCAGCGGGCACTGCTGGCGGTGCAGGAGGTAGTGGAACTCCTACGCCTCTCCCGGCCGGCAGAGATCTAGCTGAGACCTGTGTCGGAGCGCGCCGCCGGGCCACCCCCGATCCGCCCAGACGCCTCGCCCCGCCCGGACATTCCCGCAAGTGGCAC